CGAGTGACTGCTATCAGTGGGAACTCTTGTTCGTAGGCAAATGATTGATAGGTGGACGGATGGATAGATGATTGATGACAGATGGACAGACAGATCCAAAACCAAAAACCAAACCCCTTGCTGTCGTCAATTCTGACTCATAACAACCCTACAGGACAAAGGAGAACTGCCCATACAGTTTCCAAGGCCGTGTATCTTTATGGAAGCACACTGCCACATCTTTCTCCCATGGAGCGGGAGGTGGGTTTGAAACGCCAACCATTCTTTTAACGGCTGAGTGCTTAACCACTGTGCCAGCAGGCCTCCTTAGATAGACGATCCTAACCATGATGTAGATAAGTAGAAGTAGACAGAGGTGTGTGTGCGTGGGCTAGTGTTCATAGGTGCAGTCCCCAGCTGTGTGCCCTGAGAAGGACTAGAAGCAAGAACATCCCAGGAGCCACCAAGGCATCTTGAGGGCAGATCTGACAGGCTTCTCCAGTAGCAGGCACAAGGCTGCCTGACTCTCGGGGCACTCGCCTGAGGCTCCCCCTACCTCTAAGCAGGTCCTGAGTCAGCAGAGCCTGCAGGTGCCTTTGGCTGCCACCTGGGCAACATGGGCCTGACAATGACCGAAGGCCATGCCCATTTGGCACAGGGGAACCATGTGGATAAATTCAGGTCAAAAGACCCGCTGTTTGAGGTGCCACTCACCCAACCGGGGCAAGGCACACAGCCAAGTGGCAGGTGGGTCTAGTGAGGGACAGAGAGCTGATAGAGGAGGTACTCCCAAGAGTGGAGGGGCGTCTCTAGCTCTTGATGGGCTACTCTGTGCTCCAGTGGAGGGTCTGAGGCAGAGGAGGGCCCACCGAGGCTGCCCACAGGACAGCTGCAGCCTGGAGCCCTGTGCCCTGGAGAAGGGGACCGTGGCAGGTGACAGGGGACAGCGTTCACATAGCCTAATGATGGATGATGGTGGAGTGGCCTGTGGTGGGACCAGGACCAACGGGTGGAAGTGACAGACAGGCTAGAGGTTTAGGAGAAGCTTCCTGGTCATCTGAGCTGACTGAAAATGGAACGCCTGGCCCGGCCCTGCAAGTGGACAGGCCAGGCCGGAAGGCCATCTGTTGCGGATCTGAGCCGACCAAGGGTAGATCAGATGGCCTTTAAGGCCCATTCGGTCCAGGATCCGAGAGTCTTAGAACTGAGGCTAAAGGGGCTAAGCCCCCACAGCTGTCCCTGCCCTGGCGACAGTGGTGAAGCACGCCCTGCCGCCAGCGACACCCAGCGGCCAGCCAGTTTGGCCATGAAGGTGTGAAATATCCAGGCTTGAGCCCACCGGCTCCTGGGAAATACTCAGTGTATTATGAAAGGATGGATCGGCGGTGAGCTATGTAGTCCAGACCACAGCTGCCAGGAAGGGGAGAGGGTGGATTGAAGCCACAGGAAATTCCTCAAGGCGCCGTGGAACAGCAGGAGATCTGAGCACTCTGCACCTGCCCTGCCTCTGCCTTCACTGCTGGGAGCAGGCGCCCAGCTGAGTGCCTCCCAGGGCCCGTCCTCCCGCAGCCCCTCTCTGCCAGGCAACCGATGCCTCCGTGGAAAGCCTCCCGAGGGCTGTTCTCCTCACCAGGCCACCCCGGCCTGTCACTCGATGCCTGTGGGCACGTGTGGCCTCCGCCTCATCTCCCCAAATGCACTTTTTCTTTCCTTTCGAAATGAAGTGTGTTCGTTTTCTTTCTTCAAGAAGTGCTCAGTACATACCACACTTCTTGTTCTTGTTGTTGTTTTTGCCGTCGAGTCAGCCCGACTCATAGCGACCCCTCCTTGGGTTTCCGAGGCAGTATCACTACGGAAGTAGGATTGCCCAACCTTCCTTCCGAGGAGTGGCTGGTGGGTTTGAACCGCCAGCCTTCTGGTGAGCAGTCAAGTGCCTTAGGCACTATGCTACTAGCACACACACCCCTAAAAAAAGTTCTAGAAAACTCAGTCACCTCATCTACCCAAGGAAAACCACTCCTAACACCACACAATCTACTTCCGTAGTGATACCGCCTGGGAAACCCAAGGAGGGTTTGCCATGAGTCGGTCTGACTTGCGGCACACACCACCACCACCACCACCACCACCACGTGGTAGCCTGGGCCTGGGTACACATCCGAGCTCTAAGGAAGGAGGTTGTTGTGTAGGCAAAAATAGTACGGAGAGGCTGCTGTACCAGTCACCAGCTCCCCCCGTATTTCATGGAGTGTGGAATATCAAAGCAGAAAATTGACATGGGTAACTCAGCGGCTGCTCTGGATCCAGAAGTCTCTGCGGTGCAAACGGTTCACATGCGGGGTTGCTAACTGAAAGGTGAGGGTTCGAGTCGGATCATCCGGCGGTGCTTGGAAAGAAGGGCCTGTCGATCTCCCTCTGAAAAGTTTTATTCCGACACACAACGGGGTAACAGGAGTAGAAATCCACTCCATGGCTACTGCTTCTGAACCTGCTTTGTTTATTCGGCAATAAACCACTTTCTGTGCCAAGTCCTTCCTCTCTGTTGGGCTGTTTTGTGGGGGGACTGCTACCAGTCGGTGCGTGAGTTACTGTCACAGACGCAAGCACACCTATGGTTGGGTGTTGATCGCGACTACGAGTCCTTACAAAGGGCCTTCATTTGCTTGCTTTTTATTCTGGCTTGGGGGAGGGGCATCCGTTTGAATGACAGCGTTCAAGTGCCTTTGCTCCGTTCAGGGCGCCTCCTTTAACCCTCCCAGCCCCTCCTGGAGGCGGCCACCGACGAAGACCCTGGAGCACAGACGAGCTCCACACGTGACCTGGGACGTGGGCGCAGGACTGGGACCCGCGGGTGGGCCCCAGAGCCGCTCTGCGCGGGGAGGTTCCTTCCGCTGCTTCCTTGGGGTGCGTTCCCACACGCAGAACTGCCTGGTGTCTGCAGCAAAAAGGTGCACAGCAAACATCCTCTGTGCTGTCTCCCCAGAGAAACGTCTCCCACACAGAAGGGCGTGGTGATGGGCGTCGGGGGGACGGGTTTGGGGTCAGGCCAGCTTGCCGCCTGCTGGCTGTGGGATCCCTCGGAGCCCCAGTTCCTCGTCTGGGAAGCTAACGAAGCCCCACCCCATGAAGTTCACTTGGCATCGGGTGAATTGATCCCCGAAGAGCCGAGCGCAGGGCCCGCACGCGGGACCCCAACCGGCCGGGCTGCGGCGGCTACTGATCCCGGCAGGGACCGCGATGGGCGGAGTGTAGCGGCGCGGCAGCGCCATCTGGTGGCCTCTTTCTGCTTTGCTACGTTTCAGCCCAGCCAGGGCGAGGGACCGGAATAAGAAAACGTTCACAGTTCCATCCCTGGGGATTGTGTTGTTGTTACAAAAATAGAGGTGCACACAAGCGTGCACATACGTAAAGATACAGCTTCACGTGTTGCTTAGAGCTGGACAAACAAGACGCAATCTACAAACACAGCAGCGGAGAAAGGGTTAAGTGAATTAGGGCCCGTCCATGCCAGAGGGTAGCATGCAGCCTGAAAACTTCTGTTGGCGAATTGTATGTAGTCACGTAACATATAAGACTGCACTATGTAATACAACACGAACCCTCCCCCCAACAATCCCCAAATACAGGAATACTAAAAGGCTGAAAATAAATAAATAAAAACGTGTATTTTGGGATAATAAGATTATTGGTAAATTGTCATTTCCTTCCTTACACTTTTCAGTATTTCCCTTAAACATGAATTACTTTTAGAATCATAAGATATTAAAATTATTTTTCAAATAAAAATTTTTTTTTATAGTGACTTGGGTGAAAGTTTTCAGAGCAAGTTCATTTTCCATACAGCAGTTCATACACATTTTGGTTCATGACATTGACTGCAATTCCCTCCAATGTATCAGCTCTCCTCCCACTTCCTCCCCGTAGTTATCTCTTCCCTGTGTCCTTCCCTCCCAAGCACTCCTGCCCCTCCCTGAACAGTCTCGGTGTGCACACACAGCCTCCTGTTCTCCCAGATTGATCTCTCCAAGGAGTGTATCTGCTTGATGTACATGTGCAGCCCATATGCTTGTCTGTTGTTTGGCTGGAAGCCACAGGAGTGAGTTCAATTCTAGACCTGAAGGGCAGGCAGGGGCCATAGTCTCAGGGGGTCTCACCAGGCTCTATCAGACCAGCAATCCTGTTTTTTTTTTTTTATGATTTTGGGTTTTGTTCCACATTGTTCTCCCTCTACCCAGGATCTCCTATGGGATCCCCCTGTGAGTGGTTGACAGTGGTAGCCGGGCACCATCTAGTTCTTCTGGTCTCATGGTCATATAGGCTGAGGATCACGTGGTGTACCAGTCACTAGGACTAATTGTTTCCATACATCTTTGGTTTTTTTCATTCTTATTTGCTCTGGATGGGGAGAGACCCATTGTTGCTTCTAGATGGCCTCCAGTTGACATTCTTGATGGAACTTTACAATGGGATCTCGCTTCTTGGACCCGTTGGTTTTTGTGTCCACCTAACCATGTACTCTGTCTGGTTCCCCCGTCAGTGGACAAGTGGCTGCAGCGACTTTGGCCCTGGCTAGATGGAGGGAGATTCCACTCTACGCACCAGGCTCCAGTACCTGACATCTTACTATTTCCAAAGTTCTATTTCAGAAGAAACATCACCTCCTGTGGGAAGCCCTCCCTGATCGCTCAGAATAAATCAGGCCTCCTATTATGTGTTCTCATTGTCCTGTTCTTTCATTCTGGCCATTCACCACAGTTTGTGGGAATTTGTGTGAGTGTTTTACCAATATCTGTCTCCCTCGCGAACGCTCAGGTCTCAAGAACGAGTGATGTGTCCCTTGAATTTCCAGCACAAAGCACAGTGACTGGCACAGGGTGTCATCAATAAACACTTGCTGAGTGAATTAACGTAGGCACCAAGAGAAGTTACAGGCATTTTGGATTTGATTCCATTACGGACAAAATTTTTTAGGAGAGTCGTTGACAAACCGATGTTGTCCAGAAGAGGGCGCTCAAGACGACATGTGTGTGCCTGATGAGGGAACCGACAGCGGCCAGGGTCAGCCCCGAGACAACGGCTTCGGGAAAGCAAGCCAGGTGCGTCCAAATAGCCGAACCCCGACCGATTTCCTTTCTCGTAATTACTTGCTGTTAATCTCTTCAGGGCACAGTCTGTAACGCTGACAGCGTGGCCTTTGCAGGTGAGACCTTCCTGGGACGTAAAACCGGAAGGTTGCCTTAGGTGATCCTTGAAGCCCCTTTCACCTCGGAAAGTACTATTTTAAACGAAAACCAACCAATTTTTGTTCAGAAGGGGCGCGGTAATTCCCCAGTATTGCCACTAGATGGCGTTCCAGACTTAAAATCCCTGCCTGGCGGGAGGTTTGAATTCCCTCTGTCCGCGCTCAGGTTTATCTTTGCAGAAGAGATGAATCGGTAACTACAATTAAGATACCACAGCCTCCTGCAATCCTGGGGGCTCAGGGTGTTGGAGAAGTCTACAAATAGACTCACCTGGAATGTTAGTGAGTAAGGCCCACACCCCCCTCTCCTCCTTAAAACAAACTTCCAAGGAGTGACTGCTGGGTTTGAACCTCCAGCCTTCTGGTTGGCAGTCAAATGCCACCAGAGTTCCTCCCTCCGAGGGGAGGGGCATGTGCAGGTGGGCAGGGGAGGCGAATGCGGGGTGGGGGGCCCTGGGTGCGTTTGTCCAAGGCACTGACCTTCTTTAAAATGAGGGTGCTGCAATACCTACCTCAGGGGCACCTTACTTCTGAAATAGAGGCTCCCAGACGCACCTTCAGGGATTCAGACCAGTAGTCCAGGGCGAGGTCACCTCCCAGGTTCGTGGGAAGATTGAATAGGATAACACCTAGCGTGTAGGCTCTTTGGAAAATGAAGAGAGGCCATACAGGTGTGGCACATAGCCAGTGCTCATCAAACAGGGGCCTCTCTGTCTCCGACCATCAGCTCACAGAGCCCGCACCTGGGAGATGTCCAGGAAACACTGCCGAGGGGTAAACATCCGAGAGGGAGAGAGGAGGCAGAGCGTGCTGGGTCGCTGCGTCCCGTTGGCCATCACAGAAACGGTGTGATTCTTGACTCCTCATCGAGAAAATAATAGGCTCCAACATATACATATTTTTTCTTTTTTTAATTTAAAGGTTACTACTCATAGAATAAGGCTCTCTGGTAGCACAGTGCCTCAGGCATCTGACTGCTAACCAGAAAGTTGGTAGTTCAAACCCACCAGCCACTCCATGGAAGGAAGACTGGGCAATCTACTTCCATTAAGATTTACCACCTCAGAAACCCAATGGGGGTTACTATGAGTCAGAATTGACTCGATGGCAGCGGGTTTGGTTTTTTCACTCATAGAATAGTATTAGCTGCAATGATGGGCCCAAGCAGGGATTGTGAGGCTGGCGCAGGACTGGGCAGTGTTTTGATCTTTTGTACATGGGTCATTATGAGTCAGCGCTGACTCAATGGCACCTAACAACAACAACATCTGACAGAAAAATACCTCGATTGCTTGGGGGAAAACACTCGACTGATACAGGCAAAGAGAAGAGACGGCGAACCAGGGAGGCGTGGGGTGGCATCAGAAAAGGCACCAGTGACAAAGTCCCTCCAAACATGGCTGTTTTCACAAGATGCTCGAGTGGGTTAAACTTATCCACTAAAAGATAAAAACTCTAGCACAGCAGTCATGGAAAACAGCGATTCCAGTCCCAGGCGTCTACCCAGAGGAATTGAAAGCAGAGCCTCAGAGGCCGGACACCAGGGTTCGCTGCAGCACTGTTCTCAGGGCTCAAAAGGGGGAACAACCCAAGTGTCCATCAACACATGAGTGGGTACACCAGATGTGGTCTGTCCGTACCGTGGCCTGGTGCTCAGCCCTAGAGAGAAATGAGGTTCTGTACACGTCACAACTTGGATGAACCGTGGATGAACTCATCACGCCGAGTGAGGGAAGCCAGGCACACAGGACAGAGAGTGTACGGTTCCATTTCCGTGAAACATCTCGAATGTTGTTGTTTGGTGCTGTCAAATCGGCTCCGACTCATAGCCACCCCACGTCCAACAGAACCAAACACTGCCCAGTCGCGTGCTGGCCTCACAGTCCTTGCCATACCCGAGCCCATCGTCTCAGCCACCGTGCCAATCCATCTCGTTGAGGGCTTTCCCCTCTTTCATCAACCCTCCTCCTTACCCAACATGACATCCTTCTCCAGGGAATGGTCCCTTCTGACAACATGACCAAAGTAGGTGAGACGAAGTCTGGCCATTCTTGCTTCCAAGGAGCATTCTGGCTGCACTTCCTCCAGGACAGACCTGTTAGTTCTTTGAGCAGTCCACGGTACTTTCAGCATTCTCCGCCAGCACCACAACTCAAAAGCATCAACTCTCCTTCAGTCTTCCTTATTCATTGTCCAGCTCTCACATGCATATGAGGCGATTGGAAATGCCATGGCTTCGGTTAGGTGCACCCCAGTCTTCAAAGAGACAAAGTAGCACTCTTAGGCATACCAAAAAAAGGAAAAAAAGACAGGAAGAAGGGGTTAATGAATAGCTGAAGTGAAGATTTCACTCACCGTCCCTTCCCCTGACCAGAATACATCATAAGCAGACTTCATTTCAAGGGCTCCTGACTCTCTCCAGAATCTCTCCTTTTGAAGAAAGTTTCACTGTGGCCGTTTAAAAAGCCGTTTTGAAGAGCACGGTTCAGTGATGTTAATTACTCACCACGTTGTGCAGCCGTCGCTATCCACGTCCCTCGTGCAGCCGTCGCTATCCACGTCCTCATGTGTCGCTTGCTCCCACACCACGCTGTGCCCGTTGCTCCACCCCTCAGTCCCCCAGTCCCGCTGTTGTGTTGTTACCGGGCAGTGTTTCGTTCTGCTGTACCTGGGGTGGCTATGGGTCAGAGCGACTCCACAGCACCTGACGACGACAACAGGGTGCCACCGTCTCAGGACCAGGGATCCAGGGTGAGACAGGTAAAGAGGAGAGACTGCCGGGATCCCAGTGAAGGGTTAAGTCCAAGGGGGCCTGGAGGCGGCCTGGGTCCTCTCACTCTGGCAGTGCCCATCCCCTCAGCCTCCTGGCCCATCACCCACAGGACTCTCCTTCATGCCTCTGGGTCCCTGGCCATTTCAGACAGGACTGAAGGTGACACTAGAAATAAATTCTCACCTTTCTGGCTTTTCCCTGTAGCTAGAAAATAACACGAAGACTCCCCAGGTGGGCTCTGCCTCCGAGGGTCTGCAGGTGCCCGGCCAGGTGAGTAATGAGGGAGTCCCCCCAGGTCCACCTGGCCTCAGAGGAGCATGCACACACGAGAAGCACTGACTTTTGCCACACCCAGGCCGCTGTGCCACACACGTCACCGTCAGCTTTTACCCTCCTGGCCCTCACACATGCAGTAAGGGCCCAGGGGAAGGAGTAAAGGCCTCAGGCGGAGTGCCGGGCCCCCCAGACCAAGAGGGGATGCTCAGTGCCTGTGGGCCACCCCAGGGCCTGGGGAACTGGGACAACCAGATGGACAGAGAGTCACTGTGTCTGTCACAGCATTGGCAGTGAGCTCCTTCAGGGCTGAGGCTGCAGACCCACCAGCTCTGTGTGGGGTGCAGGAAGAAGCTCCCCTCCCACTGCCCCAAGGAAGGGCCGCGGCCGAGGACAACGCCTTCGTCACTCTAGAAGCTGGGAGCAGATGCTGCCCACCTCTCCGGCCACTGAGGCTGCCCTGGGAAGACAGAGGACAGAGGGCCTTGGGGCCCTTGAGTCCACAGAATGGGGGGCCAAGGAGAGGCCGCCTTCACAATGCCAGGGGACTGCCAGTCTGTCCTGGACTCAGCCGGGGTCCCCGCTCCGGGTTTGTGGAGGGTCTTGAGGTCGGCCAGTGGCCTCTCCTGACCAGCTGGCCTGCCTAGAGCTGTAGGCACCGAGCCGGTGGGCTGTCCAGCCGTCCCTTTGCCAGGTGACTTCCAGGAAGCTCCAGGCCGGGTGTGTTCCGTCCTTGGACTTGGAACGAGCCTCACGTGGAGTGAAGTTTGGGGTGAAGCGTGGTTGGTGCCTCTCTGGTTGATGCTGCTGCCTTTCTGCTCCCCTTTGCCTGAGTGCCAGATCCTCACCGTGGGGTCCACTGCAGACAGAACCCAAGGCTTTGTAAACTTGGATGGGAAAACTCCATCTTTATTTCCACCAGCCTCCAGCAGAGAGCCAGCGTTTCCCTCAATCGCGCATGCAGGTGAGGGACCCAGCAGGACTCCGTCGCCTGCCGGTTGTTGCTGGGGTCATCATTCTATTCTGAAAGCGCTAGAACGACACACACGCACACACACATACCCGTGGATGCCCAGAGAGTACACAGATATTTAATCCCTGTGTTTCGGTAGAATTGGGGTCCTTGTCTCCTTTGTACTTTGTAGTTTGATTTGAAAGAACTCTGCCAGGGGTCCACAGGGTCTCCAGGGGCAGCAGCGGTCTGTGGGTGCAAATCCTAAAGCCAGTGAAGACCTAGGCTCTGCACCTGGTCCACAATGGACTTTGGGAGGGGCTGCCCACCCCCGTGTCACACATGCCCCCTTTGAAATAAGACCCTCTAGGAGCTGGAGGGCCCCTGGTGTCTGAGGAAGGACAGGGTGGTCAGGTCAGCTGCAGAAGCAGGCACACGTGGTTGTCACCGTGCAGTCCACACCTCGCTCCCTCAAACACAGCGGTTCTGTTTGTCCTCCAGACCTGGGAGATTCCAAGAATGGAAACCACTGTCCCTGAGGCACGACCTGTCCCCACTGTGCTGCCAACAGGAAGCCCGCGCCCACACCCAGGAGGGAGGCAGGTGGGAGGGTCACCTGAGGGCTGGTCCAGGGAGCCACGTGCCATCCCCTCAGGCTCCAGCAGGGGGCAGTGTTCCCACTCCCACTGCCACCAGGCTCCCTCAAGCCAACACCCACGTGTGGAAAAGAGCAAGTGGTCAGCAGGGGACAGCTCCCTGACCCAAAATGTGGGACCTTCAACCCAGACCTAGAAACCTAGGCCAGTGGGACTGCAGCCTCCCTTAACCCCAGTTTCCGAGTGATACCGCAGCCACTGAGCTGGGACTCCACTCCTGAGTTTGCATTAGGTATTGTGTTAGGAAACCAGGTGTGAGTCTGCCCCGAGCACCGGGCTCTTTGAGAACTGTCTGTGTGGGATCAAACTGACAACAGCAGCTCAAAAGGTGAGGCGGGATCCTTCGGGGACAGTGGGTTTATGTTCATGGGGAGGAACAACTCCCAGAAGGACGATGAGAGGAGTCATACATCCCAAAGAACGGACGCTTGAGTTGGGCATGTTTTGCCATGAACATTCTCAAAAGCAACAAAATTGAAAAGATTATCTTAAAAAACAATCAAGCACGAGCAAAGGGAATTAAAAGCAAGCCGCCGACTGCAAGGACGCGTTCACACAAGGCTGGAAAGAGGTGGCCGCAAACTCAGAGATGGTCCCCGGGCACTGGCTATCCTCACTACTCCTCTGGCTTGTGTCTACAATATACAAAGAATTTTCGCCATTCAATCACGACAGTTTGAAGATCCTGGATAGCATGGGAGAACAACGTGGGGCAAAACACAAAATCATACAAAAGACCAGGTTTACTGGGCTGCTAGAGCCTGGTGAGACCCCCAAGACTATGGCCCCTGGTTACCCTTCAGGTCTAGAATTGAACTCACTCCCGTGGCTTCCAGCCGAGCAACAGACAGGCATATAGGGCGAACATTTACATCAGGTAGATACACTCCTTACAAGGATCAATCATGAGAGAACAGAAGGGCAGTGTATGCACAGGGAGATAGCTGGGGAGGGGGACAGGAACATACAGGAAAGAAGGTCACAGGGAAGAGGTAACTATAGGGAGGAAGTGGGAAGAGAGCTGTTATATGGTGGGGATTGTAGTCAGTGTCATGAAACAAAATGTGTATGAGCTGCTGTATGGAAAATGAGTTTGTTCTGTAAACTTTCACCCAAATCACAGTACAAATTTCTAATAAAGTTTAACTTGAAAAACAAATATTACATTTTGGTCACTGTGTTTCAATCTTATTGAAACACAGTGATCAAAAGACAAACAACTCAAAAGAAAGGGGCAGAAGATTTGAGCAGACACTTCACCAAAGAAGACGTGAAAGACTGCCCGGCACTGTTAGTCATTAGGGAAATGCCACTTAAAACCGTAGTCAAGACCATTACCCACCCTCTAGAGTGGCCGGGGTTTGAAAGACTAACCAGCCACTGTGAGCACACGGAGCAGCTGGCGCTCTCAGACTTAGCTGGTGGGAACATAAAGTACTACAACCGTTCTGGAAAACGGATTGGCAGTTTCTGGAAAATTGACACAGACTGTAGCTACAGGCAATTCCACTCCCAGGTAACTGACCAAGAGCAATGACAGCTGTGCCCACGTGAAGACAGCAGGATTATCGGTGAGAGCCCCAAACTGCAGACAAGCCCAGGACAGCGCCGTGTGTGGGGCTAGTGTCTCCACTCAAAGCCCTTTCCTAAGAATTGGGGCTCAGGGCACACAAAACCGATGCCCAGTCTTCGTTCGTGTGCTCGTCTTACTAAGAACAAAACTCTACGGTTCGATGATAGATACAGTTGTCTGGTTCTCTGCTATTCAGAGGGAGAAATGAGTTTGATCATACTCCCTCACCTCGCCCTCTGAAATGTATGTGGTTGTTAGTTGCCAGCAGGTGGATTTCAACCCACAGCAACCCCCATGTGGGCAGAGTAGAACTACCCCATAGGGTTTTCAAGGTCGTGTGTGTCTTTTGGCAGCAAATCACAGGCCTATCTCCTGAGGTGCCTCTGGGTAGGTTCGAACCGCCAACATCCTGGCTTAACCAGCACTTAACACTTGCTTGTGTGTGTGCAGCGTGTGTACATGTTGTTGTTATGTGCCATTGAGTCGGATCCGACTCATAGTGACTCCTCCTTGGGTTTCCGAGGCGGTATCACTATGGAAGTAGATTACCTAACCTTTCTCCGAGGAGTGGCTGGTGGGTTTGAACCGCCAGCCTTCTGGTTATCAGTCAAGTGCCTTAGGCACTAAGTTACCAGAGCTCCTAGTGTGTATATATAGACATATATATAAAGTTAAAAAGCTACATAGTTATATATTGCCATCTATAGTATTTTGTCTAATTATACATTCTATAGATTTACATTTTTACTTACACTGTTGAAGTTTGTGTCATATATTCTGGTGAGTAACCATGTTTCCTCCTCTTTGTTCATGTTAGATGCCCAAGTCAGTTCTGACTCATGGCGACCCTACGTGCAATAGAACCAAACACTGTCCGTCCCAAGCCACCCACTGTGGCAGTCCATCTCGTTGAGGGTCTTCCTCCGTTTCGCTGACCCCCTCCTTTCCCAAGCACGCTGTCCTTCTCCAGGGATGGTCCTTCCTGGTAACGGGTCTGAAGTCTGTCAGATGAGGCCTCACTGTCTTCCTCTCTAAGGAGCATTCTGACTGCACGTCCTCCCAGACGGATGCATGTGCTCTCTGGCAGTCCATGGTGCATTCAACATGCTTTGCCAACAGCATAATTCAAATACAAGAGTTCTTCTGTCGTCCTTACTCATTGTCGGCTTTCACACGCATGAGGTTATTGAAAATGCCACGGCTTGGGTCAGGTGCACCTTAGTCCTCAAAATGACATCTTTGCTTAAGAACACCTTAATGAAGTCTCTTGCAGCAGAAGGAGTTCTAGTGGCATCGTTGTTGTTGTTATTTGCCATCGAGTTGGACCCGACTCAGACCCCTCCTTGGGTTTCCGAGGCAGTATCACTATGGAAGTAGATCGCCCAATCTTACTTCCAAGGAGTGGCTGGTGGGTTTGAACCGCCAGCCTTCTGGTTAACAGTCAAGTGCCTTAGGCACCATGCTACCAGAGCTCCTGACCTTAATGTATTCGGCTGCTAACCAAAAGATCAGTGGTTGGAACCCGCCAGCTGCTCTGCGAGAGAACAGTGAGGCAGTCTGCTTCTGTAAAGATTTACAGCCTCGGAAATCCTGTGGGGGGAAGTTTTACTCTGTCTTATAGGGTTGCTATGACTCGAATTGGTTCTATGGCAGTGGGCTTGGGGGGTTGGTTTTTGCAGCCGATTTGCCCAATCCAATACGTCGTTTGATTTCTGGACTGCTGCTTCTATGGGCGTTGTTTGTGGATCCAAGTAAAATGGAATCCCTGACAATTTCAGTATTTCCTCATGTATCATGATGTTGCTTGCTGGTCCAG